TCTTCACGCGTATGATTCTCGTAATATTCCCACCATGGCTATCACCGCACATGAACTAATTCTGCGCGACGAAGGGAATGATGTAAACATACCTGTCCATTCCCTTGGATCCCACCCGTATTGTGGGCGTCTACGATATAGTCGTGGCCGGTCAAAACAAACCAAGAGGCCTGGTCCTGCATAACAGTCATTTCGAAAGTATCGATATCCCGGATCAATATGCTCACTTGGATGAAGACAACACGGTACGTATTGTCTGCATTCAACCAGTATTCAATATCTGGCACGAACTATTGTAGAAGTCATTATGTTGTCCGCTATTGAAAGATAAACAACTCACGTTCAGAAGCCCGTGTAGATCGACATGCGAATGAACAAGATCCCATGTCATTTTCCTAGAGAAAAGTGCGTGAGTAAATATGTGACCTCGGTTTCTCGAAAGCCGTATAGTCCATCCACCTCGTAATATTATATGATCCCGGCTGGAACACAGTCGTGCCATAGTGGCCGCATTTAGCAATGGCTGCTTCCACCTTTGCAACGCATCAACGACTCAAAGAATAGCAGTACTGACAGAATGCCGTACTGACCTGGTTTGTATCATCACGCCCGTAGCCAAGGGGCTTGATAACGCATTGTGCAGCGACACATGTCGTAGCGAAAACCACCAACGTGGTAATCGCGGCCCGAAAACTCTTGAGCATGTTTGCTGACACGACGTTCCTGCAGGTGAGTGGTGCTGCCCTCTTATACGCGACAGAGAACCTGGATGTTAGTGGATACTCCCGTCACGCGACGCCAACGGGCCGGCGAATCTCAACAATGATCCCTGGTGATCATTTGGAGGCCTCAAGAATTTGACGAGAACGAAAAACAACGTGCGCTGAGATGTTCAGATATTTCGGGCCACTGCGCAGTAGAACGAGGCGACGGCCCCGCGGGCAAGTTCGTCTCCGGCCTTGCTTTAAGGGAGCTTGTTATTCAATAGTGCAGCGACAGAGATGGGGATGACAATGTATTATAGTTTCGCTTTAACCTCCATGCGCGCCCGTCGAGCCAAGATGGCACGACCAGCACGGCTCGTTAGGGGACGCCCGAGCTCGGAGCTAATCCAAGCAGCGATGTCCACCAGCTCGTTTAGATTGATGGCCTCAAGCTCCGAGAGATCGATATCTGAGGGTCCTGAAGAACGGGTAGTGAGTGCGTAGACGAGGTCTTCCGTGGCTACGTTGCCCGTAGCCCCAGGAGAATACTGGCGTGGACACAGTCAGTGCTCTGGTTCGCAGAGTTTAACAAGAACACTTACAGGACATCCACCGAGACCTCCCACAGATGAATCAAAGACTCTCACACCAGCCTCCAAGGCAGCAAAGACATTAGCTACTGCAGTGCCATACGTATCGTGAAACTGGCTCAAGGACACCGTGAGACGAATACAAAATTCAAAAAATGAAAACTCACATGGCCCTGACGATGTCGTGTCAATATCCTGAGTTTCATCACAACGTTGCAAGTGCAATTCAGCTCACCGCAAGAAGATCGACGTCGACGCTCTTCGTCACCTCATCGAGCATCTCTCGTACTTGGGGCGGAGTAGCCATACCGACAGTATCTCCCAAGCTGACTTCATAGCAACCCATATCGATAAGAGCCTTCGTGACGTCGCGTACGCCTTTCGGGTCGACGGCCCCCGAATATGGACATCGAACAACGACACTGACATATCCACGTACGCGCATGCCACGTTCTTTCGCCGCGAGGACTACAGGTTCTAGTTTAGCTAAGGACTCTGCGACGGTCACGTTCGTATTCGCGCGTGTAAAGGCGTCCGTGGCGCCCGTAAATACCGCTACTTCATCAACCAACGAGGCCTTTGGATGCTGTTCTAGCAATGCAAGGAGATCGTCGAGACCACGCCGGTTGGGGACCAACACCGGATACCGAACGCCTGGGGGATGGCTTATACGCTGAAGAACGCTAGGCGTGTCTGCCATCTGGAAATCATATCCATGCTATAAGATACACTTATTAGGAGCTCTATCAGAAATGCACCTGTGGAACCCATTTCGGACTAACGAAGCTACCAGCCTCGATAACCTTCATACCGGCACGTCCAAGACGGTCGATAAGTTGGACCTTGAGGTCCAATGGTATGATCCCCTTCTCATTCTGCAGGCCATCACGCGGACCAACTTCGACAATGCGAACAGTTTGAGAATCTGCAGTCGCATATGCACGTCTCTTTGCAGAATGAAACAGCGGACACTGGGCAAGACGTCGGCTTGCTCCTGAGAACCGTGCAGCCGTGCCGAAAGACGACAACATGGCAAACGAGAGAACAAGCAAGAGAGATACTTTCAACGATGCAGATCGTGAGGGTTTTTGAGCAGCAAGATTTCGCGCTGCTACAGTGCATACATAACTGTTAGCGGTAACGATAGACAAGTTGCTACTTTTCCGAGAACAGAACTGAGGGAACTCATACATTTCCAAATAGGGAAATCACATCAATATCAATAGTGCTCTTGTACTAACAATGTTTTCATTTTTTGCAATATAATCGGAGGAAAGGACATCCGGCGGGACTTGGGCTCAAAAAAAAAAAAGCAAATCCCATGAACGTGTGTAACCGAATATCGTAGCGCTTAAGCTTGCAGTAGATATGAGCACGCTATTGCAGTGGTTTTTATTCTGTCAAAGGGATCCGTAAAAAAAAAAAACCAAAACCACGCTAAAGATACCATTTAGCAATGAAAAAAATTTCAATCTCAACACCGTTTCGAGGTAACGAAAAGATCATGGGCATCACATCGACTGCGGAAAATCCAGAGCTCACATTCGCCGAAAACCTGGCTAGCGCTATATCGGCTCCACGTCAAGTTCACGGGTACGGATACCAGATGATCAATATGCAAGTGTGCGTACTATGGATACTATAGGGATCCAGATTCGGAGCGACACTTTGGCAGAACGTTGACTAGAATGTCGCATGGGGATTTCGATCGAGGATATCCCGCATATTAACAACGCTCACTGTTATGGCCATAAACAAGGCTCTGCCTTGTTACAGGCAGAAGGATCGGCCCAAATCGGATTCCGCATACGAGCGAGGACCACGAAAGTGGAGGTAAGCGCTTTCTGAATAACGAACCGATATCCAATAGAAAATACTATCCACTTCTGCAGGCAAGACGGTAGACAAGAGACACAGAGAATGGGCTTTTGGTATCTGGCCATACAACACAAGCACGCTAGGTCGAGTCATGGCGAATGACTGGAAGAATGGATGTTGAATGGATTGTCTAAGACGACAATATGGCTGCACGGTCCCGGTCAACGATGGATGCAAATGAGATGGCTGGGGAAGGAGGCGCCCCGACTGTGACACGAGTTCTTCCAGTTGAATTGGGAAACTTCAATCCGAAGATTCGATATGCATAGAATTGTCATCCTTCGCCGGCCGAGTCTACAGGACCGAGCCAGATAGACCTCTGTAAGAGCTATTGACCGGCTCTCCGCACTACGCCGTTTATCCGTTGTCGATTATCTGATCTTAGAGGATTCGACTATCGAGAATGGTGGGAATGACTCCTGCCTTGGCCTGCAGCTGAGCGTCATGGAAGGACCTTGTGGACGACGCCGCTTGATGATTCTTTCCTCAGGGCTTGGTAAGAGGGCTATTCCGAGAGCCTCATCGCCTCTTGCCATTCTTATATTCATATTGGCCTCACGGAAAATCGCAAGAGACAGAGAGAACGGATATATCATCGAGGTCGCGATGCCCAGTGTCGGAACACGGCATAAATCAGGACGCAAAAGCATACAACAAATAGAGATATTGTTTTTGAACCGATGACCGAGGTCTCATGTTCAATCTAACACGACAATCGTGAGCAAAGAGCAGAACAGAGAACGAAACAAACAAAATAGGAACGGCATAAGAAAAGCACAAGTAGACGTTATGGAGGCAGAGGCTTGGAATTCAGGCAAGGAGGAAAAATTTGTGTCGAAATACTCGTCGACTCACCACAGATGCAAAAGGAGACAAAACGGGTATCGTGAAATGAGCAAAAGAGCGGTTTCGCTCCGGTTTACGCTGCACCGCGAAGCAGATGACAACCGTGAAGAGAATAAGCACTACAGCGACGAGGATCATCTGTGCTGAGGTTGATACTTGAAGTGAGAAATCATATGTCGAGACGCACTATGACACGATCATAATAGTGCATGATAACCTGCCGAGAGGAAGATGAGGTAGATAAATTCGTGAATCAACAAGTGGCACTAGCCTGTCTTTTGACATTTTCCGCACGCGCTAGTTCTTGCAGCTGAGTATGATGATTCGCCTGCGTTTCCAGGAGCATCTCTGCACGCAGAGCTCTTGCTGACCAGTATTGTGCGGCCATAGCAGTCGACAAAGGCTTTCCGTTCACGAGAGTGACATTATCACTGACGAGCGTTACCTCACCAGTAGAAGACGTGCTCTTCTTTTTCTGCAAAGTGACACGTCTCTGCCGTCCTGGAACAAGGGCAGGGCCAGGGCTGCTGGCAAAGGAGGTCGTTGGAGAGCTGGCCATGGAGATGAGGGGCACGGGTGTAGACTGGAATGTTGTAGAGGAGAGTGCTGCGCGCGTTGATTTTATTGAAAGATCTGAGCTGGAATATGTTGTACTCTTATGTCTGAGCGCTGAGTCGCTCACGGCGTATTGCATGGTCAGGCTGCTACTAGTCGACAGTGTCTGCTGTGGACTGGAAGGGGGGCTCCTATTCATCCTACAAAGTATAAGAATGAGAGATAGAGCACGTTGTATCCGTCGATTGCTTTAGATGGAACGCAATGGCGGTCAAGAGACAAACTGTAGTTCGAGCACATCACCCCAGATCACATGATCGCATTAACTGCAACCCCCCCTGAGTCTACCCCTAACCCCGACTTTACATACTTCTAACCCTAATAGTAACATGCAATTATCTCTACGCTCACCACATTTTGTGATGACAGTTCAGCCTAATGGTTATGATTTCTGTTTGGCCCAATTTGTAGCTTGAGGGTGACAGAAGGTTCTGAGTTCGATCCTCAGCTGAACTAGTGTCGGACCATGATCAGGTTTTTTTTTGGAAAGCCCATTGCTTACATCCTGCATGGTCAAGACAGGCTCGGACGCATAACAGCTACATTTTCCAGTCAGTCAAACTCGGCGACACCTTATCACAATCATGAATTACGTTTCCGCACTTTTCTCTAATGCTAACATGCCCGAAAAGAGTAATTATATATCTTTCCCGTGACTATCTGAGCAAACACTAACTGTGGATATGTAGTAATACATGCGATATTCGGCTTGGAGAAATGAATGAACATTACTTAGATGCAAGATAAGATGAACGATGCTGGCGACGGCGAACAAGATGGCAAGATGAGAGCACAAAACAGAGCATGTACTAGCACGAAGCGAGTGATGGGGACTTTTTGGAGTAATGAAGGCGATGGGCTGATGATGACACGCATATGGTAGATGACGGTGGCGTCAATGACCAAACAAATGTGATACGACGAAGAGAGATTATAACGAATTCGAGGACTAAAAGTCCGTAAGACCATGGAATGCTGTGTTGAACTTATACGTGAATGCATGTGCAAGATAAACGGAGACAATACATGGATGGAGAGGAATGAGACTTGAGGCTTTCTGACGTGCAAATGAAATCAATGGCAGCAGCGAAGGAACCAGATATCAAAAATAAAAGCATGAGACGGAAGATGATGGATAAAAAAGACCAAATACGAGAAAAGCAACACGTTCAATGGCGCGTCCAGGCTAAATAACCCACTCCTGAGGGTCGTTGGCCACGGACACAGGCACATCCGGAAGATATTCATCCTGGGGCACAATGGCCACAGGGCAAGGTACATCAGGCTGTGGCTTCTTCTGGCGAGACGCACGACGGAATACTCGCTTCGCTCCAGCAAGCTTCGACTTACGCTCCGGGGGGCTTGTGAGAGCAACCAAGACACTATTCGACGACCTAGAGACGCTATTTGCGCAAGCCCCGAGTTTCGCATCGTTTTGTTCCTTGTCGTAGTCCACAAGCGTAAGGGCAAATGATGCCAAAGATATCTCCGTGTCATTATTGGTTTCCTGCAACTGCACCTCGCACATAGGCGGCGAATTGTCCGAGTTGACATTGAACGAACGGAAGCGCCGTACCACGAGGTGGGCACGATCGGCTTCGCACACCTGAGGACCAACGTGTAACGGACCCAGTTCGACGTACTCTTCGTGGTCAGGAGCGTATTCATAGTCGTCCCCAGACCACATGTAGCGCGCTAGAGGCGAACTACGGGAAGGAGCCGACAGACCCATGTCCGCATAGGAAGAGCCCTTAAGCGCATTGTCCGACCATGCGCGACGACGCGCACCGATTTCAAGAATGATGGAAATTTGTTTCAGCTCCATTTCCATTGCTGCATGCTCCTCCTGTGCGCAAAGCAGTAGATGGCGTAGTCGTAACGTCACCTCTGCAAATGCCTTATACTCCGCAAACTTTGGACTGCTCTTGTCGAACAATGAAAAGCGCCCAGATGGTGACGTGGCTAGACTGCCCAATAGACGAAAATGAGAAGCAGAGGGTGTGTGTACAGAGCTTCCGTCCGTGTCGGAGTCTGCATCGTCGCCGTCATCAAGGCTAGGCGAAGAGGGGATAGCGACACTCTCAGCAAAATGCGGGGAGGAACATTGCGAAAAATACGAATTGAGCCGGTCGGGCAACGCTTGGGGAATGCAACCTTCATGTTCAGCCACAAGTTCAAGCATTCTGTAGGCGGAGCGTTGGAACATGCTCCGGAGGACCCACGTGTAGTAATCGGGAACAGAGAATCGGCGACGTAGCTCCGTTAGGACGTGCAGACGGAACGTGTTCACGAGCGTCGATCGCGCACGGCGGCGAAGAACACGAGAGGATAATGGAGGCAGAGGAATCACATTCTCATCTTCGTGCTCTTGCCGTACATCCTCGATCGAGACGTCCGGCTCGCAAATACTGAACTCCTTACTAGCAACAATCGATCTGCTGCCGAGGTCAACATCATCTAAAGAACCAGACGACGGCAAAAGGACACTCACAAAAACCATGACAAGAGTGGCAGGCGCTTGGTTTTGGGTCGAACGTCGTGGGGGACGGACGTCACTTTCGGTCTTTTGCTTTCTCGCCGTCTTTGCTTCAGCATACGTTCACGTCGCTTCTCCTGCTCGGCGGCTGCAGCGGACAACCTGATATCCGACAGGACGTCCTGAAGCGAGGCCAGCAGCGATTCTCTTTCCAGTGGCCACTGTTCGACAGTGCCATCTTGATACTGGCTCTCCACTGTGCGCTCTATGAGATCAAAAGTGACATGCTCAAGCAACGACGGTATGCCCGCCGCTTTGTCGAAGGCGTGGATGTAACGGGGCAACTCGAGCTCGTCGGTATGCACAGCAGCGATTTGTGCTGCCCACCCAGGTGGAGTGGGCAACCGGTCATTGAGGTCACGGAAGTCGAGCGAAAAGAGCACTGTCGGATGCGGCGCAGGGACGACGACACGAATGAGCATGGTGGCTGACTGCCGACTTGCGATATCTGCAATTACACGATGGCCAGAATGAGAAAATGATACAAAAAGACGTCAAATATTCTGAGTCTGTTCAATTGAAAAGCAAAAACGGATGCAAGGACAACGAAATCTAAGCCTATGGCTTCTCCACCGGGGAAGAAAGACAAGGCGAGGACCAACACCACGACGTGCTGAGCACTTCGAAGGGCCTGGAAGAAAGCGCCAAACCGAAGACAGCCGGACGCCGTGATGGTTGGCGTGAAAGAACGCGGTCAGCACATGGCTTGCACCGGGCGAAGTCGAAGCGGAACGTCATCTTCTATCATGTCCAATAATGGGCGAGTCCCCCGGCTCTTACAATGTAGCTGACTAGAACATCTCACACGATGGAAAGATAAAAAAAGACAAGACAAAAGACCATCGATATCATTATAGTAATATAGACAAATGCGGAACCGGTAACACGAGTAAACTGTCCGCCCGCGACTAAGACTTGTGGTACAAATATCTACCTCGCATCGTGAACAACATGTCATGTATTATTGCAGCCCAAGGTCTGGAATGAAAGAGATTGGTGTTGTAGGTTGGGGATATGTACGATAACGCAGGGGCAAGTCATGACGCGACAAGGAACCAAAGTTGCACGAGATGTATATGGATAAATACCATGCCGCTCATGGATTAGAAAAGGGAAAAGTTCGTGCGTGCGACCAGGATGTAAACGGCGAAAACAAAAACATTACGAACACTTTAATAGCACAGCTTGTCCGTTCGTCCGTGATGAGTTCTGATCATTCATTATACGTTTTTGCAGATTTGACAAGTGAACGTCAGGTGCTGTTGCAAAAGTGGTGCTGGAAGAGGAGAAATGGTCGCGACAATCAAAACATTTTCCCAATGCTAAGCGGGAACACGGCACTCACGGACAAGAACCAACGTGACAAAAAGCGTGATAGCGAAGGCATAGATGCTGCCGTATTTGATAATCTTTGAACCCACACTTAGTAAGAATATGCAGAGAACGACAAAATGGACTCACGATCCATCGCCGCTGCCGCTTCTGCTTGATAGAGAACAACGGCGCGCGAATTTGTTTCGACGGACGCAGCCAGACTGAGTGAAAAGTTAGCGAAAGCTCAAGCATATACGAAAAGGAAACAAAAATAGAACAAAAATAAAAAAGGGAAACTTACAGAGCATAGTTGCGTGCAAGCGATCGGAGTAAGGAGTCAAAACGACGGGCGTCAAAAGGAACAGAAGGAAGTGGCCGAGTAGCAGATCTGAGCTCCACAAAGACAGCTCAATGATCTTGACTATGTATTCACGAAGAGGCTGTGACATGACGTGCGCCCCTAAACCGCGCCCGTACCACCGACCCGTCCACCACGCACGATTGGTCTCGTCATGCTTGAACTCACGCGTCAACACCACAGAAATCAATACCTTGTGTATCGCGCGCTGAATGGAGATAACCGCCACCAGGCCGAGGACGGCCTTCGAGGTATCCCACTCTTCGAGGAACCACTGATAAAAATGTTTAAGCAACAGAATGACAATTTACTGACAAACGAGAATAGGCTCACCAGGAATTCGAAGAATCCGATCATAGCAATAACACCACAAATGTGTGCAATGAATGCCATGACTGAACCGAACGTAGGGACAGTCGGATCGAGCATGGGACCAAGGAAGAGGGAAACCAGGAAAAGGACGAGGAGGACTGCTGCGTTACTGACAATAGGTCCCAGGGAAATTATAGCAATACGGATGAGTGGGCTGGGTGGAGTTTCGCCATCCACCTTGAACGACTGAACGAACATGTATGCGATGGTGAACAAAACGGCCATGACGATGGGGAAGATGATCTCAGCAAAAAGTACGGCCCGCCACCCTGCCCTAGGCACGTCACCTGAGAGCTTTTCTGAAGGATGGCCGAGTTTCTTCTTCTTGTATCCTGTAATCATAGTACGTGACAACCGACAGTAACCAATCCATGAGTTGTTATGCGATCGTGAATTGCCTCGCGACATCCAACGCAGATACTCCCTGTTCGTACAAATACATAAGGCTGCATGCATTCACCAGAGTCGCAAGACTTACCGATAATCAATGATAAAATCAGAGAAGACGAACTGATGTGGGTTGAAGAAGAAGGGTGCGATACATAAAGACATCGTCGAGACCCAAAAGTAGATTAGAAATGGTGTCCAAATGGACAACGTCACATAAAGCAACGAAAGAAGGGTGCGCATGCCGAGATAGATACTAGGGCCAGCAAAACGAGAGAACAAAATGCTGAAGTTGATGCGAGTGGTCGCAAATCCACGGCCCGTCGCAATATAACGCGCACCACCAAAGGTCAAGTCGCTGAGAATCGAGTGCGTATAGATTTGAGTTGAGAACACTTCAAAGACAGGCGACAGTGACATAAATTGTTTTGAAAGACGCCAGATGGCGCTGAAAGTGCCAGCGTCCAGAAGTTCTTAACGAACCTATGA